CCTCTTAGGGTATGTGGCACATGGATAATCCCCCCATCCTCTGATGTGAGGAGGCTCCGTCGCACCCCCAGCGCATCCCCCACGAGGTTTTAAACCCCCGCACGTCTTAAAGCTGCCAAGGTTGAGAAACCCTGCTCTAGATATATCTGAGAGAGAACTGGTTCTGCAGAGAAGAGATACTCTATAGATCGGAGGTCTCAAACTCAAAATCATGATGCCGTATGACAAGTTCATTAGTCCAAAGGCCAGAACAAGGAACCCTTTTCATGCTTTGCTGCAAAGGTATATAGTGAGTCAAAAATGAAGAAAATAAAGAGCATCATGGGAGGTTGTTAAACATAAATTTATTAAATTTTAAAAAAAGCATTGCTGCAAACTAGAGCTACTTTTTGGCCATTTCACATTGGCCACAGAGGCCACAGTAGTGGCTGTACAATGAAGGTCAGGGTTGTTATTGACATTGGAATAGCCATGTGGAGGATGGTTCTTGCATGAATGTGGCTACAAGCAGCAAAGCTTTTGGCTGTTTCCAGCGTCATTCAGTATGAAGATGTGTACATTACATGTTGTTTTAGATTCACATTTATGGACGATATTCGCAAGAGCCAATCAAAACATTTTCTCGCTTCAAAGATGTAGCTTATTGTGCTACATATCGAGAGGATGGGAAACTGCTTGTTGCTGGCAGTGAAGAGGGTAGCGTTCGCATCTTTGACATTGCTGGGCGAGCACCATTAAGGCAATTCGAAGGCCACACTAAGTAAGTATGAGAACATAACTATATTTGATTTGTTGCCTGATTGCTTCAATCTACAAGTGTACTTTGGAGTAGTTGTGATTTCAGATGTAAGAAAAGATGTTTTGAAGCATCCATTTTCTCAGTTAATCAACAGATGTGTTAATTACGTTGTAAAGATAATGTTTACAAGTAATAAGTTGTCATTGTTTTATCAATTATTGGGTCTATACTCTATAATATCATTAGTCACAGTACATTATTTAAAAAGTGCTTTGTATGCAATCATGATGTAAAGTGCAGACTTTTGGCATTTTATACAGAATTGTCTGTTCGATTGTGACAGAAAACTTGCTGCTTGGAATCCTTTTTACCTTCAAATTTTTGAGTACTGAAAAATTAAGGAAAAGTTATTAATAAATTGATTATTAATTTTACTTTTAATTAATGTTACTGAAAACATTAACAGTCTGGAAATGTTTGACTATTGGTCTAAGCAGAACTTTCATAATTGTGTGTTTTAAAAATGTGGCTAGAGCGTGTCTGTTTTTATGCATAATAAAGAATTTTAAAATATTAATTACTGAGTAAATTTTATTTGCTAATAAAGGTTTATTTGGTTTTTTGTTTAGTTATTTATTTGTAGTGCTTATAGGCTGCTTGAATCAGAATTGACTCTTAGTGGCCTATAAGCAGCCAATAATATCCTGGTTTAGCACATCATGCTAAACCCATAACAACTGGACCATTATTGTTTACTGTGATGGGTGAACCCAGCCAATTTCTTTGTTTCTCCATGTGAATTGGGTGGACTGGTTTTTCCCTATTTATAAAGATTATTTTCATAGATCTTTAATATATTGTCTTGTGTTTATTTTTTAAACTGATGGAGATGATCTCAGATGATCTTCAGGTAACTCAGATAATCTTCAAGTAATTCAGAAAACAGTGTTAATACTCTGAAACAATAGAATATACATATCCCAGTGTTTCATGCTATGAAAGGTACATCATCTTAATTATAGCAAAAATTGAGATGGCTTTATATTTATTCACTGTTTTTGGTGTTGTGGCTTGTAGAGCAGTACATGTTGTAGGATTTCTGTCTGATAAGTACCGAATAATGTCTGGAGCAGATGATTACACGTCACGGGTCTGGGATGTTTCAACCTCATCGGAAATAGCATGCTACAAAGAGCACACAGACTATGTAAGATGTGGCTGTACTAGTAAACTCAATGCAGATCTTTTTGTAACAGGTTTGTGATTTACCTTATATTTACTGGTGACAAAATGACTTCCTGAATGATCTTTTCATTTCTCTACTGTCACAATATTTTCCTAGTTATAAATTTCCTAGTTATTTATGTTCAAATTTATTGATTTTCCTGATTCAGGTTGTTTTTCCGCTTTACATTTCATTTCTTTTTTGATTTTGTAAGAATGACTTAATTATAATGGTAGTTTGCTAATTCAAAATTCTGTAGCCAAGACATTTTGGAATCAGAAGATGAAATCCTTAGATGGGATATCTGACTTCAGATTATAAGATACTCTTACATTGGGATCTTGATTATTGCTGAGGTTGGTTTTCTTCTTACAAATATTTAATTACCAAACCAGTAATCATTTTATCAGTTTTCCACATTGGACAATTAGAAACAGGCACCTAAATTACAACAATCCTGATCAAGACAAGTAGGACAAGCTGGTACACATAAAAAGCCAGCAAACCTACCCCCCCCCCATGTTAGATTGTGTTTTAGGTCTGAACAAAAGCACTTACAGTCATATGCTGTTCCTTCATATGTTGTGAACTGCTAAATCCTTTCTTCTTCTGGGATACATTCTAGGTTCCTATGACCATACAGTAAAAGTATTTGATACACGGACAGACAAAAGCATCATGAGGATAGAACACGGGCAGCCGGTTGAGAGTGTTAATCTGTTTCCTTCTGAAGGTCTTCTTGTGACAGCAGGTATTTCATTCAATCAGCAGTTTTCTCCATCTCTCTTTCCCATCCTATTTACAGCAAAACATCCTGTATTTATTCCCATATGCAAAAACTCTGTTTCTCAGTTGCCTTTTTTATTTGCATTACACAAGCATGGGCTGGGGAAGGATGTAAGCTGTAATGTAAGCTGTAGTGACCTGCAGTTGGATTAATGGGTGGTGGCATTTGTGAGCCTTTTCTAAGTTATATTCTGGTTTCCTTCATCCCACTTCAAGTGAAATCCATTAGAAGCCATTTTGTCAGTAAAGAAAAAGGTGATTAATAGAATGGGAAGAGAAGCAGACTATGGAAATTGCCTTCTGAAGAAAAATGTATGTACTGTACAAACATACTATTTTTTTAAACTTTGCAGGTGGTCGCTACATTAAAATCTGGGATATCCTTAAAGGAGGCCAGTTGTTAGTGTCCTTGAGAAATCACCATAAAACTGTAACCTGTTTGTGTCTGAGCAGCTCTGGTCAGAGGCTGCTTTCAGGCTCCCTAGACCGGTTTGTATTTTTCAGTGTTTTCTTTCAAACTTTTTATGCCCTGTTAACGAATAGTTCTGTGCAATGAATAGTATATTCAACTGCAAAATAGGAAACTGGGAATACAGCTTAACAGCATTCCCAGAATACCAAGAGTATGAAGAGAAAGGTGAAACTTGCAAGTCTGGATGATGCCTACTGACTCCCAGAATCAGGGCTAGAGGTCTAATGATGTGGTTTCAGTGCCATCAATGGATTGCTGTCTTTCCATTAGCTTAAAAGAAGTATGACAATGTTATTCATATGCATGAGCAAAGAGACTCGTTCTTAGAAAGGGATGCATAGAGTTAAAACTATAAGCAGAGCTGTCTGTATGGTAATTGCATAAATCAGTGATGGGTATCACTTTTACAACTTGAGGCAACTTTTGAAAATATTTTTCATCAGAATTCCTGAGGGGCTGGTGATGTCATGGCATGATGTAAAAAGTCTGGGGCTATTCTTCAGTGTTTGGCTGGGAATATTGGGAATGTCAGGGGTTGTTTCAGGTACATTCAAACTCTCCAAAGTTTAGTGCACTTATTTCTTTGGTTTCCCACTGAATACTTTTGATGCAGAGCTGTAGGTCATTGCCCCTTGCTTGAATTCAGACTTGGCCCTCCATAATTTAGAAGAGAAGATAGAAATGGTAGTATGTTGTCTGACCCTCCCTTCCTCTTCACGTACCCAAGGTCCCCTAAAAACTGGCTTTGGTGGGCTGCTGGGTCCTTTGGGACAGTTGGAGGTGATGCTAGGAATTGCAAGAAGAAACTGAATTATCTGCTCTTCCCATACGCCATGGCGTTCTGAGCAGAATTCTTTTAAGAAATGCTCCTTTGCATGAAACCAAACTCTAGATCCAGTCTAGTACTTTTCTTATTGGTTTTTGTTTGCTTACTTGTCAGTCGTATATTTATTACCTATATCTTGCAATTCTGTTAAAATGAATCAACCTGAGAGTAGATCCAGCTATAAATTCTTACCAGGTCACTTAAATTTTCTAACAGAGGTTATCCTTAGCTGGATTGCTCTTCCTGCTGTCCCATGAAGCAGAACCAAATACAGGTAGTCCTTGAGTTACGACTGCAATTGGAACTGGGATTGCAGTTGCTAAGCAATGTGATCATAAAGCGCGACATCACGTGACTGCATTGCTTAGTGATGGCAATAGTTGGGGGAGGAGGTGCTTAGTGCGGTGCAAGCTCAGAAAGGCCTGGGAATGAGGGCGCATGTGTGCTAGTGCAGGGAGGTCAAGGAAAGAGGGTGCAGGGTGCATACAATCACAGGGAGGCTGTGGAAGGAGGGCACAGGGTATGTGCATGTGTGCGATTGCAGGGAAGCCACAGAAAGCGGGCGTGGGGTGCATGCATGTGTGCAATCGCAGGGAGGCTGTGGAAGAGGGTGTGGGGTACGTGAGTGCATGTGTGCAATTGCAGGGAGGCCAAGGAAAGAGGGCGCGGGATACTTGTGTGCGTGTGTGTGCTATCGCAGGGAGGCCTCAGGTGCTTGTCCTTGCACCTAGTTGCTTGTTAGACCCTTAAGTAAGTGAGGTTGCTTGCACTGCAGCCAAAAAGTTAGAAAAGAAAAAAAGTTTCTCTTACCTGCTGGAGCAGTGGGAAGAGTAGGTGCAAGGACAAGCACCTGAGGCCTCCCTGCGATAGCACACACACGCACACAAGTATC